TTTTTTTTGTTTTCCCAACTCCATGCCGACTTCACCCTCCTTCCACTTCGTGTTCCATTTCCTACAAGTGGAGTAATCGTCGACTTGACTTCTTTCTGCTTCATCGTCTGCCCTTCCCTGCTGATCCGAAGGCCTAGGCTATCGTCGGATTACCGCTCTCTTCTGTGTTGCCATGCCGATGAAGTATATCTGGATGGACTGGCCCTTACCAACTGTTGCCGTATTGTATGTAGAAAAACTGGATGCCTTGTTGTCCGTTTACGTTCTCCTCTGCATATATGCTTTTGAACATGACGCCATTAGCACGGACCGTGGAGGTCTGGAATGGCGTCACTTGGTTACGCAATCGGATCTAGAATGCTTCATTTGTAGCCTTGCCTAGCTTGGATCATCCAACACATGAGCCTGAAAGTGGTCAAAGACAATGAATGCTCCGTTTCACCGGCACCAAGTTCGCCAGTCGGCTTCATTACAAGTGCTTTCCAGTCTCAACTCTCAAAGCGGACCCAGATTCGGTTCCGTCCTCTTCAACAATTTGCCATTTCGCCATTCTCCCAGCTTCCTGCCTTCGAGACTCAGCGACTCTGTCCTTCTGTTCGTCCTGTGTGCCTTAAGTCGCTGCTAATTTTTGGCTGGTCCCAGGCCAATTGTGCCCACAGTAGCCGAAAAACCGATCATCTCGCTCCACACGATCGCATCTGCCAGCTCAACGCTGGAATCCCTTCTCTCTTGCATGGCTTTCGGGCAATCCCTCAACTCCACAATGTACAGTTCACATGGCCTGGGCAGGCAGATGACTCACACATCAGATCTGATTCAGATAATCTCACCTTTGCCTCTCTCTCAGGCCCAATTGATTCGCTTCTCCCTTCCTCCGCTTATGCTCTACCTCATGTTCCCTCAACTTCCAGGCATTGCCTCCTCCCTGCCAAGCTCATCTTGGCCGTCTTGTCGATTGCCCAAACTCTCCTGTTTCTAGGCCAGTTCGCTTGCATTCTGTATCATTTCGCTCTAAAAGGACTGATCTGTTCATGATCTTCTGCTGACCCCTGACAGTTCGGCTACTCTTGTCGCCATTTTTCGTTCATCCCACGATCTCAACCACACCCCGCCATTCACCATATTGTTTTCCTTCCAGTTCCTCCATTTTCCACCTTTTGTCTCTATCACAACGGGTAACACCGTGTGCAGACCCGCCAGACACACAATTTCGACACCTCGGCAACCAAAGGTACCTATCATATTTGTACATAACTCATTCATCTATACAACCGAGTGCATACCTATCCCTTAACTATATAAGCTCTGCTATTTCCACTTATTTCACAGCCTGAATGGAGATTATTTACAGATAAAATCGGCTACCCAGTGTTCTTCTCTTACCAAACTTGGTTTGCTCCTTGAGTGTCTTGAATGAGCCTAGTTATAGTTGGATCTTCGATTATTTCATATACATTTCTGCATGATACACATTGGCTTAACCACACAAACACACACACACACACATATATTATATATATATATAGTAGTGGGATATGAAAGTTTGGCTCGTCGATAATCCACTATAAGTATAGTATGGCAAAGCCAAGATCTTTCTACGTTAGCTGTACAAATAGGTACTTGGGTGAAATATACATTAAGAGTGAAAAAGAAGCATTAATATGAAGACGAAAATGGCATATATATATAGATAGATAGATAGATAGATAGATAATTAAGCATATGTATATCATGCGAAAATGGGCGTCCCTCCTAGTATCCTCAAAGTTTCCAAGTCATATAGGTCTATATAAAATGTTAAATGTATATATATATATATATATATAGTGAGTATTTAAAACTACTCATTACAACGATTTAATAATTTATA